AAAATAGTTATAGGACATAGCCATCAGCCACAGCCCCAGGGAAGCAGGATATGACCTTTAGGACATAATAGGATTAATCCACCACCATCAGAATACCAAAAAGGACACACTCAAAAGCTCAGGTCAAAGTTCATGCCACAGGAACAGGAAACAACTCCAAACACAAAAGCCCAAGAAGGTATAAAAACCCACCACTCCCAACTACATGTGGTCAGCTTTCCCAGAGTCACATTTCTGTCTGGCTCTGCTCTTCAATAAACTACAACCTTCTTTCTAAATCAGTCTCCATTTTGTTTATTTCTGGCTTGGACTGGACCCTGATGAAGATTTTTCTTTCAACAGATGGAATTGTGTAATTGAAGGGATTCTGAATATCCCCACTCTACCCGATCTCACTGGATGGGAAGAAGCTATCAGAGATAGGCAGTCTCTCAAATAGCCAGGCTGTCGGCCATGAAGAGCTGTAAAAGTGATAACTAGAACCTTAAATGGTTGAAAGTTAGCTCGGAAGCCTGCTGGCAATCATTGTGGTATATGGAGCAGCAGTGACACATGGGCATGTGATGGTTTCTGTCTGATTCTGAACCAGCCAAAGCTTCTAGATAGTCTTCAAGGCAGCCCGATGTTGAGTGCATTGCAGTGGTCCATTTCTGAGGCAATCTTATTGAAAAAGTTAGAAAACCCCTGTTGACCCGGACTTAGAGGACAGTATCAATAGTGAATACGTGGAGATGGCCCTGCTATCTCTGGCCACATGCAAAACTATGAATACAAGGTCATAAAAGGGCAGCAAAGGAAACAACCAATATCCTAACCCACCCAGGAACATATGGTGTCTTAGAGAAACACCCAAAAGGGAACATATGGTATCTTGGTTGTGAACTTTGATTGGAACAGTTAAGGCTCATTGCTTGCATCACTGTGGCAATGATCATTAACTGTTCCAATCAAAGTTCACAACTATTTAGAAGTATCTTTGACAAGCAGAACTATCTGCAGGATCCCAGACAATGATATATTGACAATGATATATTGTCGTGCCAAAGGATGATGTTGCACACAACATTAAAAAATAGGTTGGGTTGAGAGTGACTGGCCCAGAGTCTCTCAATGCATTTCCATGGTTGTGGATGGATTCATTTGTAGTCCAGCATCCTAACCACTATGATCCCCCCTCCCTCCTTATTTATTCTAGATATATACACTATTTAGATACAAACTTTTAATCAAGGATTGAAGAAAAAAACAGTACTGAGTAGATGTTACACACACAAGAAAGTTACAAAAAGAGACAACAGTCCATTGTAGAATTTCAAGAAGTGATTAGATGAACACACTTCCCAAATATACATTGTCCATCAATGTTGTTCATTGCATTAGGAAGCCAAATAACCTTTACTAAGAGAAGGACTGATCCAGGCAGTTGAAACTGTGTCATTTAATTGATGTAGAAAGCAAAAAAATTATTATTATTAATAATAATAATAGTAAAGTTGGAAGGGACCTTGGAGGTCATCTAGTCCAACCCCCTGCTTAGGCAGGAAACCCTATATCATTTCGGACAAATGGCTGTCCAGTGTCTTCTTAAAAACTT